AGCTTCATGCTAAAAACTGGTAATCATGTAGCTGCAGGTCCATGCGGCTCTATAACGCAATACCCTTATCCCAACAGATACCGATTCTGCTGCAAGACGGAAGAAGCCAAAGCATGGCCAAAATGAGCCCAAGTGTTTGGCTGCAACGCGGGGATTATTCTTGCAATTAGCGACCCGCGAGTTTTATGCAAAAACGCATGATCGCACCGGCAAGCCTGGTGCGTTCCAGCCTGGGTTTAATACAGTTTAGTAATCCTCACTGTCTTTAGTCTTTAGCAAAACCAAAATTTTTGCGCTTCTCAGACTCACCTCCCTTACCTGGATGTCATTAATCGCATTTTTGCCGATTACAGAGAGACAGCGGATTGGATTCTGGTACTTCCTTGTTCCCATCATTAGCTAGATCACCGCAAAAATGCTACCCATCCAGCTCTAATCAGTGCAATTAATGCGAGGAAATCGTGATACGGGAGAATTGCAAGCTCGGATCACGATTTCCTCGCCTACACACGAAAATCAGGATGCGCAGCAGGAATTTCTTACACTCGCTCAGTTGGTGGAATTTGTGAAAGTTTTGCACAGGAGTTTTGCAGTTTTGGGGGTAGCTCTTTGCAGGCTTTTTTTAAACTTTTCTGTCATGCATGGGTAGAGAAAGAAAGTGAGCAAGAGAATTCCGTTACGAATTGCAAAATCATGCCGCATCGGAAGGGCTTGAAGCGCTCTGTCGAACGCGCTGCTGAAATGTGGTCGGTTGGCGGTGATGGCAGCAGCGGCGGCGAGTGGCCGTGCTTTGATAAGCCTGCTATTGCTAGCAGTGGAGAACGCTCGGACAATTGCATCTCGGAAGGACGGCCTGCGCTATCCCCATCCCATATAATATTCCCTAACGCATCAATTTTTAATGCTTTTTTTTTGGAGTGATGCGTCACGGATTACTGCGTTTTCTTTGCTCTGGTTTTTCTGCCTTCTCTGTTTTGTCTGTTTTTTCTTCCAAATTTCTGACGCATAAGCACTGTTTGCGATGTAGCTCCATTTGCTGAGTTGTGCAGATTTTTTTGCCTCTACTAAATAGTTAATCAAAATTCACTACTTCCACTACTTAGTGGGCTGAGAAAAAATCAGTGAAATTTGCCGAGAAAACAATAATGAAATTTTGCTAATGTAAAATTTTCTCCAAAACGTTCATCTCATTGATGCAAGGATCAATGGATAAGCTTAATTGAACAAATTAAACAGTTAGGAATCAAAGCACTGAACTATGATTTTTTTAAATCCAGTGGACCTCTATAAGATCAGCTTTAGCGCACGAAAGGAATTGGCTTTATGATTTTTTTTAGCTGGAAATTTAAATAGCGAGAAAGGTTATTCAGATAGATATCAGTGCTGCCACTGCAACCTCGGCTACCGTTTTTTGAATGCTTCTCTCGTTGTTAGCGAGACTGCAGAAAAACATTCAGTTATCGCAAATGGGCGATGCTGTCTTGATGACCCAATCCATGCTTCCTTGTACTGAGGGATGTAAACCTGCTGGCAGTGCTGTCCATGATCTTTTTACCCGGGGCTTCTTAAGAAACAGGCTTTTTGACTTTTTAGCACCGGATTATTAGTTTACAATCGAAATAAATCCGTAAATGATTAGAGAGACTTGTTCTTCATCAACGAATTCAAACCAACACCTGGAGTCTGGAAGTTCTGTGCTTTACTCAGTACTATAACAAGCCCAAGGGCAGTATTGTGATTTATAATGCCTTCAGCAGAAATGTATTTCACTGACATTTAAGATCAAATACAGCTGAATTTCACTAACTGGTAAGCACAGACAGAATTGCGGTTAGAAATAAGCGATTGAGGAACGCTACTGTGCATTGAACGACATTCTTCGGTGTAGCTAAAAGCGAAAGTAGCGTTAGTTCTGGCAGAAACAATAAGACTTCGCAAAAAATCTGCTCTGAATCTGTCAAATTTTTGTTGACTTTTGAACAGATTACAAGCGAGGCTGGTGCATTACTTTTTTTGGTAGGCAAAGGAAACTTTTTTCCTTTTTCCTCTGCACTTTTGGTTTTTTCTGCGGCCAGGAACGCTGTGCATTGACATGAAAATTGATTCTAAGCAATGTATTGCATATGGGGAGCCGACTTATTGCTTTTCACTTCAGTAATCTGTTCCCTTCCCTCCCATGATTATAAGACTCATTCTGAGGCCCGTCTAGAGAAGAAAATGATTACCAGTGGCAGCGCGTCCCCACTACAATACGATCTCCTGCACATGTGACAAGCAATCCATCATGAGGTGTAACGTTTTGCATTTCGTTCGTACTTTACGTATATTCATTGTTTGTCTCCGAGCAACGGAGAGCTCGCCAAGGAAATGCTTTTTTTTGGCCTCAGTTCTTTTCAA